TTACTGTTCGCAAATAGTTAAGGATGTGGGCTGTTCTAGTTTTAGGGAAATGCGAAGTTTAGCTCAGGATAGGAAAGAGTGGAGGTACGTGTCCAACCAGTCTTAGGACTGATGACCTTACGATGATGATGACTATCCTGCTATCACAAAAGGCTCTACGTGCGTTTTTCTTGCACAACTAAATAATAATTAAATCAATAATTATTTTGTTATTTACCTCTGTTGAAAGTAACTAATTTTTAGCGTCAATTTTACCCGACGCCAATAATTCTTATAAAGTGAACTAAACACAGTTAACGTTTCGCATAAAAACATTAAGGATTCTCCATATTTCTAAAAACGACCTACATATTTCAGTAAACTTAATAAAATATGGCGGTCAACATGTGTACTATACAAATAAATATGTATACAAACAGATAAACTCAATTTCCAGCCAACCAATAAACATGTTGAGATAATCGACATTAACTATCGGCACCCTTTGAGATCAATTTTCTCCAATTAAATAGAGATAAACGCAATAAACCTTAATTTGTTCGCATCCTTTTAAGTTACAATTGTACCTACTTATTTACTACCGACGCCAATATAAAACTGTGAATTATTGTTTTCTAATTCTGGACAACCCACAATTAATCATAACGAATTCATTCCTTTGGTTTAATTAATTGTCTTATACATCAAACTCATTATTTTTCAAAATATTTGTCGGAATAATTTATAATTAGAGTTCATTAATTTAAAATAACGAAAATGTAACCATTCTATAAAATAGGCGTAAAATAAAAGCGATTTATGACATTATTGTTTTGTTTTCTATTGAAACTATGGGTTTCCTACGGGAATGCGATTAGGAGATTTTGCCTATATTCTCTAATGCTAATAGCTGATTGGAAAATTCATATTAAGCAGAGGTGGAGTGTATATATATATATATGTATATATAATTAAGCAAGTAGGTATATACTTACGTAAATTCCTCCTTCTGCTTTTTTGTGACGTCGAACTGTAAACACATTTTGTCCAGCGGTAATTCGTGTCTTCTTGCGGTGCTTTGCATTATAGCTGTTAATAGTGATTGTGGATTAAAAAACCCACCCAACCATACTGATAAGGGCAACTGGAAGTAAACATTTATTAATATGGAATGGATTCAGTAAAACATAGGGATTTTAGTCTTCAAGCCAGAGGAATATAAAATGCGAAATTATCCCTCAGTCAGAAACTGATGTTCAGTCTTTAACTGAGGATGATACCTAGGCTGTCGAAACGCGTTTTAGGTTTTTTATTTGGAATGTTGGATTTTAGTGTTTTATTTAATTTAGCTCCGCAGAACTCCATTTGACATATATTTTATACGGATATTTGCAGACGTTTTCACATGAAATAAGTGATAAATATTTTTAAATTTTTAACGTCATAATACCACAAAGTCGGTGGTCCATGTTTCCAACTCTCGAATGCGTAGAAGCAAGTCAACAAACCAAGGAGTCAAGCTTAATAAAGACGGATAAGCTCGCGTGCTCCAACTTGACGGTACTTGATCCAAAAATAACGAGTTTTCTAAATTTTCCATGTCCGATGTAATGGTTAATTCCCCTTTCAAACCCAAATCTAATTCTTTAAGAGATCTTCTTATTTCTCCAATCAGATAATTCATGCGTTCGCATTCTTGAAATGCCACCACTACGTAAGGGGTTCTTTCTTCCACTTTTCCTGTTATCTCGGCCATATTAAAGTCTTCCGGAAGTTTTTCGTACATTTCGTCCACAATCTGCTTAACCTGCAACAGCAATTTTTGTTTGTCAGAACGTTTAAATCAGAACGATACCACACAAGTGAGAAACCTTATCTTCTTTGGTGACAGCAGTTGCAGCGGAAACGGACGCGTCACGAGGTTGCATTTCGAACACAGTTTTGAACAGATTTTCAGCAGTGGTCGTTAGAAAACCGATTTCCGCGTTCGGATGGAGTCCGTAAAGTGTTGGCGATTCCGGGGGCAAAGCTTCGTCAATATAATTATGATATCCTACATAATCTGTGTTAGGGGGCGCGGGGAATCCCGGTGCCAACATTAATTCACCGTCGATCTAAAAACGATTGATCTACGTGAACGGATTTTGATGAAAGAATTCAGGAGTCAAAGAAAAAGTAGAAAAATGAAAGCTAAGCTTCCATGGATTGCAAGATAACCTTAGATTTTATCGAAATTAAAAAAAATGGTCGGACATACCAAATCTGATTGAAGAAATTCTTCTAAATAAGTATTACACAATCTGCGATCCCAGTCGTCGGTGATATGACCCCCGTACATTATTTCACCGAACAGGTACCTCAGATCCTCCCAAGGGACTTTCGTATTTGCCTCCAGATAATTGTAAAGGACAAAAACGCTAATTGTTAAATCCCCCATATTAAAGGGATACACTTTATTCCAGCCCTGAGGCCCAAATTTTCTCCGTTCGGCGACAACTGCATGGAAATAGCACAACGAAAAAAGAATAACTTTAAATTCTGCTTCTTTTCCGCACTGTTCTAACGTCTCTTGATTAAAATTTGAAAGTGCCTTGTGAATGTTTGCTTGCATACCAGAAGGTGGTTCGTTAGTTATTTTTATAGAAGACTGAAGAATACCCTAAAATGATTAATTACTTTCAAATTGTAGCAATATAAAAGGGTAAAGAGTAACAGCGGAAGACCTAAATTACATAGGCTAATGTTCGTAAATAGTGAGATGTACTAGTCTTGGGAAAGTACGAAAGATTAGCTCAGTATAGGAGAGAGGGGAGGTCTAATTACTCTTCGGACTGAAGACCCATAGTGATGACAAAAAAAAGATGGCACTTAGTTTATGTTATCAATTAAATTGTGTGAAATCTGAAAGAAATGCTTCCATATTCTGGATTAAGTAGGTACCAGATTTTTCAAGAAAGTAGACATTTATATTTAAAAAAAGCAAACAGAAAAATAACAATTAAACATGCAGAAAGTGACGGGTAAAAAACGAAAAGAGGAATGAATCTACGCAAGGCAGTCAAATAACCTGTGGTATAATGTGAGCGTCAGGAGTTGCCGCTGGTTCTGCACTCATAAAAACCCTGTAGTTCTTTTGGGCACATGCTGCGAATTGTTCTAATTTCTTTTCCAAAGTAGAAAGCCATTTACGGACCAAATGTATATTTTGCAACACAACCCAATGTCCATGAGTTGCGGCCAAACTCATAGCCGATTCGGCCACAACTTCTTGGCCTTGGCCTAACGAAACGTTGTGAAAATTGTGATTTTCAGCTTTGAAACCGAGCTGTAAGCCGAGGGTTTCAACATCTCGAAGAGGATTTACACCTGGACTAAGAATGAAAAATATCGGAGTCGACGGACTGGTCTCTTCGAATGACATTGCAAAATCGACTGTTGCATTTTCCACATACTTCTGACCTAATTTTTCTTCGATGAATGCGCTACAATGCAAACGACTGTTTAACCCTTTTAAACTTTAATTATTGTTATTATTATTGGTAAACTATTAGTCACTTATTCACTTAATACAATGGTCGCAACCAACGGCGAGTCTAGAGGAAGATGCAGCTGCGAACGGATAATGTTTGATGTTCTAGTTAACAAAATCGACAAACATAATTAACTGTAAACTGTAATTTATGTACCTCATTGCGTAAGTCATTCTGTCGGGCCTTAAGGCTCTAAGCATACAGAGCCTTTGTAATCCCGATTTATTTTTCCATTCCTGCGGAAACCTTTCCCTTTCAGGGCAATCGGTTTCGACAAATTTTTTCCAGCGTTTGTTAGAGTTTTCTATATCACGATCTAAATTTCTGAATTCCTCTTTAGTCGACAAACTACACACACTTCCCCAACTCGAATTCGATAGAAAATCTACCGGGCTGGTGACGTGTGGCTTTATCGGAAATCTGAGAAAGAAGTCCAAATCTGAAGGGAGAATTTCTTCGCTCATGAGAAGAATCTGTTGTCGCAACAAAATCATACGATAGTATGCATACAATTTGTACCAGAAAAAAAAATAAACGTCACCTGAAAAGTCATCTGCGACGCAAATATAAGTTTGTCACATTCGAAAAGGCCTCTTGTTGTATATTGAAAAACGGAAAACGAGATGCAGTCTATTAAATTTTCTACTCTTTCTGAAACCACTTCGGAAGGTTTTGCTTTAGTAATGGCTTTTTGAAAAACAACATTAAAGGCCTACAAAATTTCTACTTGTTGAATAGAAAATAAAGGTAAAAATAACATTTGCAACCCTACAAACCTTTAATGAAAACTGATAGATGGGATTGATGGTGTTTAGCTCGTTTAATATGAAATATAACAGACTTGCCCTAGCAGCAGCTGGTCTATAGTTTTCTCTAGCTTGATCTATTTGTATGGAAGTCTTTTTGGCTTCCTGTACCTTCTTTTCGATTTCTGCCGCTGTGCGTTTTGTTGTTTCTAAATTTTCGACTAAACTTGCGTCTTCCAGAATGTTCTCGCCTGCTAAAGAAAGACGCGACAGAAGGTCGTCTTCTAACGTTTTTAATATGATTTTGAAATCGTTCTGTTGTTTTGTTAATTCTGCCTGAAATAAATTTTAAAACGAGTTTTGTTAAATATAATTGTCCAGCCCATATTTTTGTTTTTATTTACCTTTAGGTCTTCCAAATCGGGACGTTCAGCTTTTACAACTTCAGCCAGCAACTGATCTTCAAGTCCGTCTTTGGTTACCGTAAAGTTAATAAGAGTGGTTTGAGCTTGCATCTCCGGTTTATAGTGCGGATTGGCTAATTTTGTTTGTAGAATTAAGCGAAAATTCGAATTATACTCTATCTCCCTCTCTCCAAGTTTGATAGCTCTACAATATTGCAATGGTAAGGTTTTTTATAAAAAAAAAAAAAAACAAAAACTTCAGACGACGCAGTAGCTAAAGACAAAGAACTACTAACTTTTTGAAAATTATTTATTTTATAAATGAGCCTTTAGTTCAAGCTTTATGCAATAAATACATTATTTCGAATTAAGTGTCAGTGAAGTTTATGATAAATCGTTACTACAAATCGAATCACTTACTTTCCTTTTTTAATCAAGTTTCTGCCAATTAGGGCGTCTAAAGTAGGATCAATATCTTGGTCGATATTTTCCAAAAGTACGGTAGCACCTGATGTTAGGGATTTCTCTATAGTTTCGAAACAACCCTTTTGACCAAACTGAATGATGTGTAGAGCATCGCCGTACCTTTGTTTGATCCACTTTAATCCCTGAAGCTGATAAAAAATTTAATTCAGTTCGGTAATCGTCATTAAGTCACATTAAGTGCTTGGTCGGCAATTTATAAGATCCATCAGATGATACGTTTTAATTCTCATCAGCGCGCACACCATACGTATTAGTTTCGAAAAATTAGTAACCAAGCCAAAGTTACTCTATCATGCAAGCAAAATAATTGAAATCAGACAAATGGCAGAATTTTGTCATCTAAACTTACAACTGTATTACTTCATAGTATCATAGGCCTTAAAAAAGGTATCTTCTGTTACTTTCAGTTATTCTTGATTGAATTATCTTCAAAACAATAATAATAGCATAATTACATAGGTGCACAGATGGACCTTATTTTCTACGACTTATAGAAAAGAGTGGACATTTTACCTGTGGATCAATCATTAGAGGCCACCTATCCGAATTTGTTAATATCGTAGCATTCTCTGATGACATTCGGTCACTTGGAAGACCTTCATTTTGCCACTTGGCTATTTGTGTATCATCAGTTAACAAAGATAACAGATCTAATTTATCGGTTCTCGGAATTCTTGGCTGAAAAAGTGTTACTTGCGGGTTTATGAAAAAAAAAAAAAAAGAGAGAAAGTGAAATGACGCACTTCTATGTTTTTCATGTGTGGCAACCAGTGCTTGTTAATCAGGTCTTGTCTATATTGTTTCGTAAAACAACCTGCATACGAAATGAATGCGGTTATTAAAAGTACATCACCCGGTAACGTATAACCCTGTGCGGTTAAACTGAAAAACGACGACGAAAATTAAATTCGAAACCTCCGGGAAATCGGTAGAGGTATGCTTTTTGAAAGACTACCACTAATGCATACTGCAAAAACTGTACATACTTATTAACTGCCTCCGCCCATCGCACTTTTTCACTAGCTAACCCCCCAACTAATCGGTTAGCAAGCTGTATAGTAGCATTGGTGGCATTCGCTTCTTGTTGACAACGCATCTTTTCAGCTGTAGCTTGCTCAAAGTCGGCCGTTAATTGAGCCAATTGTTCTTCTAATGACTAAAAGCAACAACGTCATAAAAGTCCCAAGTGTATAAGTACTTCATTTAAGTCATGGTCGCATAGCGCCAGCGGATCGTTTTCAAATCACCTATGTATTGAATGATGTTGAATCGCGTATTAGCTTATCAATTAACGTATTACGTAACATATGTAGATCTGTACCAGTTGAATTAAAAACTCTCGTGACCATTACTGAGTTGAAGATGAAGGTGCTTGTTTCGGGTTCTTCGATTCTTGAGATTTATTGATTATATTATCAGGATATCGTAATCATTTTCGGAAGATCTGAGTTTTGTTAAGAAAACTCTCGAACTCGAACGAGCCCCTTTGTCTTCGACTCGAAAACGGCCACGAATACCTGAAATATGTCATGGTGTCGCAGTCGTGATTTTTTTGTCCAGTTTTACTTATGTATAAACAAAGTGTAATATTGTACCTTGTATATTAAACTCACCACTACTTTTCTTTTAATTGCAGCTAGTTTCTCTTGTGCAGCGGCCAAGTCGGCATTTGCTTGGGTCAGAGCTTTCCGTTTAGGTTCCACATCGCAAAAAACTTCGTAAAATTTTATTATATTAATCACCCATGCACACAGGCCAGCTGCAGCAGTTGATTTCGAACGTACGAAATCTGGATCGAATTCCGGATCCTTAAGGTACGGTTCGATCGCCTTTATTATCTCTGGGTGAATATTTTCCTTGTCGTAATTTATAAGTGAATCTAAGAAATTATCCACTTTCGCCATCATAAGCTAAAATTATTTAGAAAAATCACTATCTACATACATTTCAAGTAACTTGATAAATAATAAATAACCTTGGCGGATTTCCAGCTACGATCTTTGGGTATTTTCGAAGCTGGAGCTAAAAGTACCATAACGGCTGCTGTAACGTTCGTAACTGCGCCTGGTGGAGATCCGAACGATTTGAGTTCCGTCAAATTCGCTTTATTCAAAGTATTGAGAGCTTCTTGAGCAGCCGCGAGAGCTGGTTCAGCTTTTCTCAAATCTTCTTCGCAGTCTTTTTGTTTTTGACTTACTTCTTCTGCAATCTCTACCACTTTAAGTTCCTCTTCGTCGGCAAGGGTTTTCTCAACCGAAACCTTTTCGGTTTCGACACGAACAATTTCAATTAATGTGTCGGCAGCTTCGTTCTTTTCTTTCAACGCTACTTCCTGTACGGCTAGTTTTATCTTTAGTTCGTCCACTTGAGCCGCCGTTTTCCTTAACTTGTCGAGCCCGTTATTTAGTCGATCAACTTTCCTTTCTAATTCTTTCGCCTTGAGCTTTAAAAGCTTAGAGTACAAACTTATTTGTTCAAGGAAGGATTTCGGTGTGGTGTAATTGTGTCTACGTTCGTTTTGGAGATACAGTTTGGACGTTTGATTGACTGACGTATGAACAAATGCCATGAAACGGGCCACCGAATCTTGCATTTCTTCCTGTAAAAATAGCTCATTCTAAAATACCATATTATCGGTACATGTTTATATGTAACTAGTCTTAGTTAGGTACTATTTATGTTGGTAGTTCTTACTGGAAGTGGAGATAGCTCCCGAAGAAATCTCATTGAAACAGATATTAATGCCTCTTGGGGCCATTCATGGAACCAGTTGGTTTGCGTGCAGTTTATTAAAGATGGGAACTTTCTTCCTCGTATTCTTAATGTGGATCCGACGGGTGAGAAACACAAAACGATCTTTAGCTGTCGCCGTACACGATCGATGAAAAATTTCCAACAATTTTCTCTGGTGTCCAGAATTCCGGCTCCCTTTACTTCATTTCTTACTCCGGAAATGATGTTTTCAACTTCGTCTTCGGGAAACATATCGGGGGTTTCGCCAGTTGCCAATATGTCATTAATCAGTACCAAATATTGTTCGTTCGCTATTTGGGCGTCTGTTACAAGGAACATGATGCCAACATTTTTCAAACCACATTTCAGATATAAAGCCGCCAGTTCGTATTTCAAGTCTACAACGCTGTATCCCTTTTTGACTTGAATTTGAGATACTTCTAGTGAAGAAATAAATGCTGCTAAACGAGATAAAGACTGTTTTCCACTTCCGCCGACACCTACCAATAATGCACTTCCTCTCGGAGATTCCAAAATTCTATTGATTCTAAAAACAAAAAGTGCGCCCATACATGTAAAAGTAATTTATATGCACTAGATATCATCTGATACCTGCACACATGCATCATGGCATCTTCGAAAAGGACCAAGTTCATTGCAGCCACTAAATCGTTATAGCTGATCATCGCTTCGGTTAACAACTGATGCAGTTTAACCCACTTTTTAATCGGCATATACTTAGGTTCACCTATTCCTAACGCAAAGTGACAATAAATGTTTGGCTTTTCAGAAACGAGCGATTCTTCAACATCCTCGAAATTTTTCTTGAATATATCGCACTGAATCTTACAAAATGCTTCAATATCTTTTTCCTCGACTAACTTGTCTCCGTAAACCCTGTGACTTTCGTGTAACCACAGTCGAACCACATCAGAAGATGTGTTGAGGCAGTCGCCCGTCCCAAAAAGCAAACCCTAACGAAAATAATTTTCTATGCTGTTTTCTTCCGGGCTTTTTGGCCGTGGTCCGTGGAATCTTGCTTTTTCATAAACGTTTCGCCGTTCTTTGCTGACGTCTGCTGCTGATGATCAGTTACGACTCAGCACCCGCCCAGTCACCACCGAAGATGCCGTCAGCAAAGAACGGCGAAACGTTTATGAAAAAGCAAGATTCCACGGACCACGGCCAAAAAGCCCGGAAGAAAACACAGCATCGATAGACGCCGGCCGTGAAAGCCTAAGAACGACAGAAAACAATTTTATAAATTTTAATCTCACGAGTTTTTAAGCCAACGAAACAACTTATCGTTAGTTATGAAACACGAAAACAACTGTTTTTATACTTGCCTGAAATACGTTAGACATATCTCTGAGGTTGAAGATGTAATGAAATTTAACAGCAGTGGGCAAGAAAACCTGCGAAACTTTGCTGTGTAACATGATTGTAGCGTTTACAATATTTAACGATAAATTCCAAATGCACGATGGTATTTTGTATTCTGGATTCGTGAAGTGTTGGCTAATTATAGTCTGATAGATAGTGATCAACGAATCATTCGAAGGAAAATTAACCGCAAATACGTAGAAATGTCTTTGAAGTCTCGGGTTTATAGTAAAACTGCCAGCAGTCGGATTCATACAAGAGACATATTGGCAATTGTGTATGTCCTTTAACGTTAACCGCCCACGATCGTACCAATGGTTGTAATCTAAATGTTGACGGATTAAAGTATGCGGTTGGACGGTTCCGTATTGATCAACCTCTGGCATATTCATATCGTCGATGAAAAAAATCATGTTTTTATTTCCTGGAGGAGCATAATTACGGCCAGCTCTCTTTTCTAGAGGTTTCTCCAAAATTTTCTGAAGCATTTCGGAAGTAGTGTAGAAATTAAAAGGTACTCTGCAAACTGCGAATTTTTCTGACAATGACGAAAGCTTTTCACTAACTAAAACTGTTTTTCCAACGCCCGCATTTCCCACTAACATTACAGGTTTCATTTTTTCCATAAATAAGTCCAGAAAGAATTTAAGACGTATTGACTCAGCAGTGTGGACCAACGTGGCCTTGAATTAAAAGGAGCGCATTACAAAATGCCGTTAAAATTGTTGAATGTTTGAAATATCTGACCTGCAACGGGACATCTGTATCCAACTCGAACCGTCCAATTCTTTCTGACCAAGGCATAAACTGCTTTGATTCTGAATCAACGTAATAATCAAACACACTACCTCCGCTCGGAAATTTAATTGTCTTAAATTCGCTAGCCCACCATTTTGTAAATTCTACACGATGATCGATTGTCTAAAATTAATTAACAATATTCCGTAAATGATAAATGTGTATGAATCAGTACTATCGATATACATATAAAAAGTTAAGGCACTTGAATTTTTATATTTCAGTTCAAGTACAATTTAAATGTTTAACTTTTGTAGGTAAGTACCTACCTACCTACTAAATGCGCATGTATTTATTCCACGAACAGATAGATGAAAGTGACATGATCTTTTCATAATGCAACAATAACTTTATTTTTTAATGGTAGTCATTTTTTACTAGAGCTTACTTGTTCTTGAAATATCGTAGACCCAAAAGCCCATACACCACTAAAAACGAAGTAGAGTTCGTACAGTTCTTTAGGAGCATCTGATTGTATATTTTCCGGAATAAGGAGGCAGTCGAGTAAATGGCAGAGCATTTGAACATGTGAAATTTCCGGTAAAGGAATTATCCTTTTGAATCGAGTTCTAATATTTTCTAAGCACGTAGGAATATACTTGTCAGCCAGCATAATTAAATTAGACTTTTCGGATTGATTAGACCTCGTTTCTATCCAACTAGTTACAAATCTGTAAAAACCAGGAAGAAAAACTTCAGAAACATCGTACCTAACAATTACTTTTCATGGTCAGTAAACTTATTGAAACCAAGAGTGAGGATCGCGATTTCAAACCAAACAATTGCCTCTTATTACAATACCACCTAAGCAGTTTTGATTCATCAAACCGAAGTTTATTCTATACTTTGCACTTACGGATTCCAACCAAGATCCTGCGAATTGATGTAAAGAATTCCAGCTCTCGAGACTGTTGCAGGAGTGGCAGTTTTGAGGTTTGAAATTTCAAAAATTAGACGCATTGCAGGAGTGAGACCAATTCTTTCGTTACTGGCAAGTGTTAATACCTTATTATCGTCCATTACTGTATTAAGTGATTCGATCCACATTGGATCAATGTCACCGTCGAGTACAATCCATTTTGGGTGATCATTAACCGCGTTAGCTTGTTCGCGCATCAAAACAGAAAATAAGCCATCTTTCCATTCTCGTGTCGCTGGATTGATTATGCCAAATAATTCGTCATTTGTTACCGCTTTAGGGTTCAAGTCGTTATAAATTGGTTTTCGTTTCATATTCTGGTACGTTTTAATTAGTGATTTCCATACTTGCGTTTTCCCAGTACCCGCACTACCCACAATGAATACTGAATGTCTAACTTCTAAAAGTTCTTCTAATTGAACTACCTAGAGACATTAAATATATCGACATGGTACCATCTCTGAACATCATTTTCAAGAAAATTTTAACGAAAGAAAAATCAATTTAATTAAGCGAATAAAAGTGATCGAAAAATATTAAAAATGTGTAATATTTATCTAATTAGATGTAAGTACAGCTAATGTTTTAAAACTGAAAATATTAGAATCGATTTGAAAAAAAATGTGTAATATTTAATTCGTATTAACTAAATTGCATTCCAATATTAAAACCAGATAAGACAATTAGCATCATTTAGATTTTGAGTTTTCTAAGATATATTTCAAAATCAAACCCATCGCATTTGTATGTTGTTTATTTTTCGCTTGAATTCGCTCGATGTAGAAAACCTCTTACTTTGAGAATGAAATTGTCTTCTGGTTGCAACCGAAGGTCCACAGTTGCCTGTTTAACAGTTCTTTCGAAGTCGGCATCTCGTTTTCGTGGAACTTCTAAAGCAGGAAATAAATCACCTATTAATCCCATGAATACCGGAAAATCTTCCATCACAATTTTGGGGATATTAAAGTCCCTCAAAGCTCTCATTAAAACTTCTTCTTCAGGGCGACCAGGATCGCCACGCTAAAATATTTTGTCTAGTTAGTTATCGCGTATTTTTACTTAGATATGTGCCTATATTTAGTGGAGCAGAAGGTCTTAGTGGGCTCAAGAGCGAACACATAAAAATCCTCGGACTACAGTATAATCTAGGTATCTAGAGAGTCAGATAAGTCAGGACGGAAGGAGCAGTAGAGATAAAAGCAGAGGATAGCGCAGGGTCGAGTTGCCTTCAATAAAAACAAGTAACTTCTATACTCGCGAGCGATTAATTTAGAATTTCGAAGAAGATTGTTAAAGGTTTATGTTTGGAACGCGGTGCCGTACGGGTGCGGAAAAGAAAAGGTTAGAGGCGTTCAAAATGTGGTGTTACCGACAAATGATGAGGATATCGTGGATAGAGGAGGTTAGAAATGAAGAGGTATTAAAAAAAAAATAGGAAAACAGAGGACTATGAAAGTTGATAAAAAATAGACGAGATAGGTTGGTAGGACACCTTCTCAGGTATGAAGGTCTAGTCAGAGACATATTAGAGGCAGAAGCAGGAGTTAGGAGGGGTAGAGGTAGACCTACGATAGATTAGATTACTGTTCGCAAATAGTTAAGGATGTGGGTTGTTCTAGCTTGCTTTAGGGAAATACGACGCTTAGCTTAGGATAGGAAGCAGTGAAGGTGCATGTCCAACCAGTCTTAGGATTGACGGCCTTGTAATGATGATGATTATTGGTATGTATTCGTATACCTATCATATTTTTTACACAACCGTTCCTAACATGCAATAATAATAATGTTACTCATAAGACGTTTGGATTCTGAATAGTATAATTTATAAATTGCAAAATTCATCTTGGTTTCTCTTTCTTTTTTAGTGTTTTGATTTCCCACAAAATCTGCTGAAAACCTAATGTTATGTTACGTGACTATGAGTCGAACTCTCCACTGAAAAATTAATAACAACATACTTTACAAAAGCACATAAAATAATTAAAAATAAAAAATAAAAATTCCGACTTGATTTATTTGAACTACTTTCGTGTGTCAATTTTAATAAAGCCGTATTACGTATAAACCTAGAAAATTACGATTAATACTTTTGAAATTACCTTTAATGAACCTGCCACAACGAGTACAGACTTTATAGCTCGTAGTCCCCAATCGTAATGATCCTGTTTTGACAGTAATTCTTTGCATAAAGTGTAAAGAGTTATAAATTTTCTTCCCAGAATTTTCGCTTCCTGAAAGCCTTCTGCTACCAGCATAATTTCACAAATAAGTTCAAAATCAGGAACGACCATTGCACAAGGCCTAAAATGGGTCATCATACGTACGAAAGAAATGCAATGTAGGAGTGTATTAGAAAATAAAGCGAATTTAGGTCAGCAATATACGAAAAAGGATCCAAAAGATCGGATATCGTGTCGTAACGAAGAAAATTCACTATCGCTCTGCACCTGGTCAAAATTTTAAAACAATAAAAAAGTTATGAGTGTGTTCAATTTAGAAATGACCAAAAGACGAAGGAGGAGGCAATTTTGAAGCTAAAAAAGAACAGTTTCATTTTGGCCGAGATGCTTCGGTAAATGTATGACGCTTAAAAGGGAAAAATAATTATTTTGTTTTATTTAATTCTCGGAATTTTAAACCTCCCTCCTTAAGTAAATAATTTACCTAAATTGCGCTTTTAAATTTTCGGGTAATTCTGTTCTTCCTGCGTATCCAGGATTCATAGTAATAAATAGGCCTACTGTGGCGACGAGTGGAATTTTTTCCCCCAAAAAATCGAAAGTTTCTTTCTTATTACGTATAGCATCTAAAACAGATTTGACTTGGACCGCAACGACAGACAACACCTCGACTGATATTCTGTTGAATTCATCGAAACATCCCCATGCGCCTGTCTGCGCCAACCCTTTGTAAATATTTCCGCACGACTGGAAACAGAACATTCTAAATTACAAACATAAATAACAAAAGTCGTGTGTCAGAATAATTTAAATCACCGTTAGGGAGCTACCTTGTAGTCCATTTGCTCTGAACAGTTGAAAACATATACCATCATGCCCAACGCTCTTCCCAGATCTTTAGTCGTTTCCGTTTTACCAGTTCCTGCTGGTCCTGCTGGACCACCGCCCATGACCAAATGTAAGCTCTAAGATTAAACAATTCTGATTTTTAAGCATCAACATATTTGAATAAAATTCAATCGAACCTGAGTAAGAGTAATATAACACCTGTCTGTCAATGGGGTTATAACTAAACGTGGAGTGTTTCCTAAATACTCATAATTATAGAGGAATTCAGCATCACAAATGTTTGCAAAACAATCCTTTTCCTTTTCATCCCACCGGTGTCTTAACTGAGCAACCCATTGAAAAGCCAACGAGTTTTCGGTTTTCATTTGAATTAATTTTCCAACCACATCTCTCGAATGAACGTCTATCGTACAAACGGTCATAACCTTTTGCCTGTTTTGTTTCGTCAAGTCTCCCAATAGAAGATTTATCAACGTGCTTAATTGCGAAACTTGTTTTTTAAAATAGTCTCGAATAGCGTTGTCATAACCCTCTTCGAATCTCGCAAAAGCAGCGTTCACTTCTGTAGTCCACCAAATTTGAGTTCCGCATAAAGACACCTAATCATGCGTATGTAAGTTTATAAAGGAAAAGATAAGTTTTTTTGGAGTGTGGCCTATTGAATTATACCTGGGCTGGATAATCAAACAGCCATTGATCCCTCGGTTTTTCTTCGTATAAGGCAACTGCTTCGGCTAAATAGAAACGCAGGTTTGTACGCATTCCACTTTGCAACCTATTCAGCCAAACTTCAACCTAAAATACGCAAATACTCAAATGAAGGTGTATTTACTATACGAAGTATTCGACGCTTACTGCTCCGTTACAGTCGTATTGCTTTTCGAATTTGACAACTTCTCCATCTTTCGCCACCATGCCTTTAATAACATTGACAGAATCGTTATTATCTTTTTCTAGTATCAGTTTGCAAATGGAATCGAATAATTTGATTAAATGTTTCGAAACTAATTCGGGCTGATTACTATTGGAAAGAATATCCAACAGGTCTGCACAAGAGACGAAGTAAAATCGAGGAAAGGCGAGTCGTTTGGTCTCCAAATAAACTGCGAGAGCTTTTTCGCAAAGTGTTAGACCTTTTTGTAAGTTTTCTAAACATGGTACAAGGTCTCTGTTTTTAGTAGCTTTAATAACGTTGGGAACAGTGGAAAGTTGTTTGACCAGTTGCTTAAAGTCGTCGTTAATAGTGTAGAATCTTTCGGAATCGCCCGGAAGTTGTTTGCGAATGTCCTCCGAACTCATAAATATAGACTCCAAATGTATCCATGTTCTTTGAACTTCGAACCACAAAGAAATTACTTGATCAGCTATATTAAGTTTTTGTTGCCAAGACGAAACTTCCTTTAGAAAGTATGCTATATATTTGGACGTTATCAAATTTTGTAATTGCGCTTGGTTCTCTTCCAAAGTTTCTATCAGTTCTTCGCTCACTTTTAGAAGAATACTACCAGTTCGATGATGTAACTCTTGATCAAATTCCATTGTTGACCAAGTGACTTCCAATTCGCGAAGGACTTTTTCCATCGACATTTCCTTTACCGCCTTATCTACTATATTTTTTACCTCTTCTTCGCATTCGTGAAGATTCAGCTGAAGTAGTTCCGCAAGTGTCGTATTATGATCCATAATTATTTTGGTCTAAAATGCGACATCGTTCTTGTGTGCATGAATGATGTTTAATTTATTTAAATTAATTTGCTGATTAACTACAATAAATTTAGTGCACGAACTCCTACACAATTTCCAGCCATGAAGGTATCCTGAATGAGAAAATTAAAGCCGTGCTCAGCGCTACATAAATAAATTGTACATAAGTATATTAGATAATAGGTGCAAGCACAATCGTTACTCCTAATAAATGACTAATGTGAGTCTTTTAAGTAATTTGCTACAATATTTTACTAGAAAAAAAGTCAAGCCACGCTTTTTTATCGTATAATCAAATATTCTTATTCGAAAAATATACTTAGATGCACCCTTCTCTGTATTTTGCCCATACCTTACCTAATCCATTTCTATTACTAATCGTAATTATTATAGTACTAATAATAACCTAGACTAAAGAAAATAAGTGTCTATATAAGAATAATAAACACACCCACCTTGAATTCTGCAGGAACTGACGCTAAATTCTGCAAACACATTTTATAAGAAAAATTTTAAAATTTGCTTTTGTGTCATTGTTAGGTAAAACTATTTACATATTTACATTTGTACAAGAAAATAAGAAGCCTTTCAAACAAGTACTTGTTTACCTTAGTCGAGTTCATAAGTTGATCCCAGTGTCTCTCCCGAATAGCCCCATTTTGCAGTTCTCCTACAGCCCTTAATGATGTTAATGTATTTTTTACTGCCGCTTCTAAACCCATGAATGCATCCCAACTTCTCATATCCTTGTCTAGCATTTTCACTTCTTTCGCGAACTTTTTACACTCTATATCCATGTTTTCAACGTCGATTTTTCTCCAAGGTGTCGTCTTCCAATCGTCTACACATGTATGTACGATGTTGATAAAATCCCATAGTTGCTGTTTGAAAACAAAACACAACATTCCCACTTTTTATCAAGTTATGTAACATAATAACGAAAAAATTAATGAACATCGAAACATGAAAGACAACGTGGGCGTTGTTACCTCAAGAATATTATTTCGACCGACACGGTCTTTCTCAGAACTATAATAATATAATGGTAAAAATAAGAGTAATCCATATATCGACCGCAGAAATACTGTTAAGGTAATAACAAAATTTCGTGAAAACGTTCCTATGTTTTTTGTTTAATTCATTATTTCATTATAAAGCAACTTGCTTTTACCTTTGCCATGCGCAGTTCCTTCCTGCATAGTTTCAATAATTTAAATTCAGGAACGTTGACTTCAAACAACGAACCGGATTGTTGAATGTCTCTCATTTCTCTTTCTAATCTTTCGAGATCTTTGTTGACACTATCCATGGCAGCATACGGAAAATTACATGAATATAGAAAAAACTGCTTCCTTTTAAATATTTCTCTGAAGTAAACCGTTTGGTTTTCGAAAGCAATAATTCGTTTTCTAATGCTTGTCACTTCGTTAGCTTGTAGTGGTGCAAGTTGTTGTTTAACTGTAACAGCAATCTTCTTAGTATTACTCCATTGTTCGGGAAGTTCTTGTAATAATACGTTTATTTCTTCAGGTAAATCCTGATCGTAATATTTCAAAAGATCGATTGTTTCCTTGAGAGGGCAAAAGATTTCGTCGGTTTTTACTTGTCTTTCTTTAACCTTTAACAAATAACCCATCACATTAACCAAGGCATCGTAATCGCCATCGTTAACCGTTTGTAAAAGTCCTTCGTCAGCAGACCTAATAAATTCTGCTAAATCTCTCAAATTGTGAGTGACTGTGTTGACGAGATGTTTTTTAAACATGTCGCTCCATTTACAAACCAAATTTAAAAGTGCTTGCTTGAAAGGTCTCACATCCACTTTGAACCAGAAATTAAACACTTGTTCCGATTTAAGCGATTCTATTTCTGTCAGAATATTTTCGAAAGTGTCGATTTGTTCGCGAAAAGAATCGATGGTTGGAGAATTGAGAGTTGGGGCTGCGACGTCCTTTATTTTTAACAAGTCCAACTCTTCTTCAGTAAGTTGCCTCCCATAAGTGAGAAACTGTTGCATGTAGATGTTTCTATCGTCCAACCATAAATAAGAATAATTACTGAAGCGACTACAAAATTCGAAAACTTCGTTTATAACGTGATCAACACTTTCTAAAATGCTCTGTTTTATTTCTCTAATATCGTCGTTTTCTTCAATTTGGATGGTGTAACTTTTACCGTGTGATTTCGAAAATTGAGGTACATATAAAGACATATTTATTATCTTTTGAATGAGATCTACTACAAGTACTTGAAGGCTGTCTGTTCTGTTTGGATCTAGTGATGGTGAAAATACGATGTTTGGTTCTGCTAAAACTAATTGTGCTGCAAATAGAGGTGGTAATTTGTTAGTTGGATCCATGTGTTCATTAATATATCCCAAACTAAAATAAAAATATTCTATTCAGTACATCGTCATCTAGGTACACATGTTCATAATATAATTGTGGTGACTGACAATGTCCCATAAAGGTACCTACGTGCTAAAGTGAACCTACTGAGTTAGCCTGTACATACTTCATAGCCACCCAATAAACCAATTAAATAAAAAATATTACATTATCGGTCAGTGATTTGTCGAAACTATAAGATGCAGATTCGGTAAATCACCGACCAAACCGAAGCTAACCCATGCAAGCAAGATAATCAAAATCAAGTAAACAGCACTGTATCGCCACCTGTCCAGATATTCATTATTAGCATTAGTCTTTCATAGTTGCAAGATCATGTCAAATACTATACAGTTAACGGGAAATATCTACGGTTGGCAATAAATACCGTTAGTTATGTATTTGTCGAAACCATTCGTGGTAAACTTTTGAAAACCGTTATGTTTGAAATCGCTATAGTGCTAAGTTTATTCAAAATTTCTGATGTATTCTGTCCTATGTAGCTCACATAAGTATAAATATTGCATAGAGCAGACGGTTTTCTGACAATGTTCGGACATTACCTGCATCCTATCATCTGAAATAAATAGTTGAAAACTATTTTATCAACATAAGTAATGTACTTCATCCATTTCGGATCATCATCCATTCCATCAACTTCGAATAGCTTCATATTCTCGTAAATTAATGCTTCAATCTCTTTGACTATCTTCTTGATTTCCATCTCTCTTTTAGACGATTTCTCCTCGCAATCGTTGATACTTAACAAATTTTCCTTTTTTCCATCCTTTCGTTGAAAAAGTGGCTCTCTAATAAACGGTAGAAAAATATTTCTTATTTGATTGAGATTATCCTGGCTTTTTTGTATATGCCCCTGAAGTTTTCCAACTAATTCGTGAAATTTCATTATGTAAGGTAAAATATCTATAATTTTATGAATAAGAGAAACTCAAGCAGCATTAGGCAAAAGAAAATTATGAAAACCAACCATTGGAAATCCATGTTAAACTTGATTGTCCGATATCAATTAAAGAATCGATTTCTTGAAGTTCTTGCTTAATTAGCTGATATTCAAAATCTTTTGCACACTTTTTAATTCCATTATACCACTTAACACACACACTTAAAATTTGAAGATATTGCCGAAAAGTGTCATTTCGTTCGTACAATTTTAAAGCTGCATCGGGAACGTCAAAAATTTTTATTTGTCGTAAGTAATGAACTTCCCGAAGTATTGTCGATAGCTACAGAAAATTGACCGATTTATAAGAGTAATGTTATTTATGCTTGCTGACTAACTTCTGGATGAAAATTGACATGTAATTCGTTGTTTTTAGAAGTAAATTTAATTAAACAGTCTTGAAGATGATTTTCTATTTGTATGGGAACAGAAGAAGTCCATTCAGTAAATAGTTTTTCAGTTAATAAGATTAATTCGCTATTCAAACTGTTAAATTGGTCTACGATACACTGAGCGCCTTCTTCAGCTGTAATTCTAAAACCAAATAAATATAATAATGTGAAAAGGAGAACATTACTCCAAAATGGGGGTTGCTTACCGGGCAACACTCATGTTTTCTAAATTTTGTTGAATTCTAGTCTTTAAACTGTTTATCCATCGCAATGAACCGGCTAACGGTGGCATAAAACGATCAACTTGAAATTTCCCAAACTTTTCTAAATACTCTAACCGATCTTCCAATAGCATCTAAAATTTATTTTTTTTGTACGTACATGTTACCGTGGAATAGTAAAAATTGTTTATTAATTAAATTCCTACATTTTTAAATAAAAACGGAATTTACCATTAACCCACCTGTAAATAGATACATAAGTACCTACACAGTATAATTTACATACATATCTATTATTATACATTTATTCGAAAGGAGGAGACATTGAAGCACAGAAAATGTTGATCGATAGCCCAAAAAAGATTTCGAGGTATATCAATAACGGACGGTAAAATTTCATATTTTTCTCGATTTTGGACATTACGCTTTTTTTAGCCACTGAAAACAGTAGACAGTGGTGCATAAAATCAACTTCGTAATAATCGCGTAACAAACGTACAAAAACATGCAGTCGAATTGAAAACCTCCTCATTTTCGAACTCGGTTAAAAACGTAGGTCACATTACAGGACGTGCCGCGTTTATTTAATCTCCAGTTTAAAATAGAAAAAAATGTATAGCACGTAATTATGTACCTACCGTATAATTTATTGATTAATTAATTTTTTGACTCTAAATCTAACGTAATTAAAACAGTAAACGTTTACCTTAATGCTATCTACTTCTTCCTGGAGAAGATCTATTATTCTATCGTAATTTTTTGTAAATGCTTCTTTGATAACAGATCTACCAAGTACACATTTTACTATGCTTATTAGCTACAAAAGTATTTGTTATTTAATAACAAATTAATTGAATATATAACATAAACAGCCACTTACTTTAAAAATTCCTTCTAAATTGGCAGCTTCGTTAAACGCTTGACAAAATATCGAAGCCAATTTTAAATCTAAGTGATAAATCTTTACCTTAAACTCCTCAAATTCCGCTTCAAAAGAATTATCATCAGGATTTAATATTTCTTGTGCCTTGCTCGAAAATGCTAGAAAATATTGCTGAAATTCATTTAATACATCCGCTACTCTACCGCTAAGAGTTTTGCCCCTTGTACCGCCAATTTCTACTTTTTCTAATTTGGTAAACTCAATGACGGTATTAAAAAACCACTGGACAGTATCAAGGCGGCTTAAGAAAATATTAAGACGCGAAAAAACGGCGTTCCTATGGAAGTTCCATTGTCGATCTCCATCTTTAGCAAATCTGTGAATGTTCTTTTTAAAAGTGGTAAAAACCTCAATAAAACTTTTCATTATATCAACAACTATTTTCACCCGTTGCGATGCCTCGTCGATATCGCTATGAAACAACGTTGTTGGATCTAGATATTGTCTTGCCTAAAAGAACGATTAAGAACTAAAAACTGGCATGCGTAAAATTAATCTACCTACAGGTAAGGTGTGTTTCTAAGAATTCGAAGGAATTCTAAGTACATTTACTATGAAATTTCAAATAAATCTTAAAACGTGACAGAAACGCGAAATCTGTAATGTTTTTATTCACCTTTTCAATAAGCAGATTACTGATTTGTTTCAAAAGTGTTATAATTCTCGACTGATCGTAATACATAGAGTTCGCCCATACTAAACAGACAGTTGTCATTAAGGGAGGGAATAGCGACGAATATTCACAGAAATCAGTTTCTTCTAAAAGGACGACATATTTTTGAAGGGGTTTAAGATAAATGTTAACATCTTGTGCTTCCGCCAAAGACATAATGACGCTTTTGAAAAGATTTTGGAAGCAATTATAGTAGGCACTGTCGGATTTCTCCAAAATTGTTGCCATGCTCTTAACTCTTTTTTCTCTTAATTGGTCGTAAATGTACTGCAAATTTTTTAACCTTAAATCCCAAAAATGCAATTCTAAAAGAAATTATAATCATTTAAATTTAAAATTTAATAAATAATGATTTCAACCTGCAGCCGGTCCGAGTTCGGGTGATGAACTATTCCCAGAATGTACACCACAATTAACGATATCATTAACTTGACTTGCCCACTTTATTATCACCCCTTCAATGGCGCTTTTCATGTAAAGATCGAACGTTTCGCTGTTGGATTCTTTTAAAATTTTTCGTTCTTCTTCTTCAACCTTTTCGATCCCTATTGGCATTGGGAGGACCGTTTGTCCATTAACCTGACCTCTTACTTGAGAAACACTGCTCTTAAGATTATGAATATGCTTTTCTACATCTCTTGATATTAGTTTCGGCCAACCTTTATGATTAGTTTCGTTTAAGAGTAAAGGTACCAAAACCTATTAAGTATGTAAGTGATTAAGGCTAATATTTCAAAAAACCAAATCGATTTGTTGATACCTCATTCACAAGAGATGCGAGTTGATCTATAATTTTGCTAGACAAATCTCCCATTATGACGAAATTAGCAGGATTAGTCTTCGTTATTGAACAAGCATTCTTTTTGACGAAGAAAACCCCTGCAACCCAAAAGTCGGTCCTAAATAATAGTAATATTCTTTATCGACATCCCTTCAATAAAACTTTTACCCTTGGTTTTCAACTGTGGCAACGGAAACGTATTGCTAGTTAAAAGTTGAACGGTCGGAGTCAGATAGATTAATAGCAAAGTATTATTGGGCATTTCGAAAAATTTTTTCACCGCTTCTTTATTTTCCTCAATCGACATCATCTTGGCCCATTTTTCAGCTTTTAATCGTAATGATTTCTGCACGTATGAGCTCAAAAGCTCAATCCTGTTATCATTTTGGGGATCCATTCTACTCGACTGTATCACTTTCAAATGACACAAGAACGAAGGGTAAGCGTAATATGTCTATTCGATTTTAGATACTTGTTTCGGTTAATAAACAAAATTGTACTCTTAATTTTAACCGGTCCATAAATAAAGTAGCCCCAATAATGAAAAGACTTACTTTCGGTATCATGCCGATTTAACGTTAACGCTTTACAACTATTGTGTAGGTAGATATTCGTACCTACAATAATTCAAGAAAGACAACTAGGTAGGTACTGTGGAATATTTTAGAAAGATAAACGGCACAGCCTGATACGCATACAAATCGCGTGATAATCAGGATCACGACAAAAAGAAAATGTCGCAAACTTTGATTCTTAACTGTGTACAATTACACTGCATCATATCAATCAAAATTCGTATTTATGTAGATGTGTATATGTATATGTATAGATAATAAATAGGTACCTAACACTGGTATTACTAAAAGGCACGAAATCATTTTATTCAAATAAAAATAAATTGCCTATCGTACCTAATACTTATTTTGGACGGACAGTTATTGAAAATTTGTATTGTACACAATATTTTTTCTGAAACACTGAAGGAAAATACCGACATTCTACGACTTTATTTATCAGTTACAATGTCAAAGTAAACAATCGAATCCAACTAAAGTTCATTGTCAATGACAGACTATCAATAGGTATAACATACTGAATTAATTTAAATAATTTATAAACTTTGTATTCACTTTCTAATGCCTTTTTAATTTAAAACTATGTATATTAAAGTTCTAACGACGATATGTGAAGCAAAGTTGCATTTTCATTTATCAATTTCTCCTTTTAAATATTCCCTTTACAAAATATATCCGGTGTAGAACATCTTTTTTCATTTACTTCTTCTGTTCTAATGCAATCGTTTTTAGATTTAATGTTTCGAATAAAAATGTAATTAAAAGGGCGTTAACTTTCAGTAGGTAATAATTTATGACTCCATTGTGTAAACAATCTTATGTATTCAATTCAAATTTAGGAAATTTACACAATGGAAAAATAAAAGTAAAACACCCTTCTCAATACCTTCCGACTTTTCATGAAAGAAGGTCGTTAGTGGATTTAGTTTTTCTCATCTTTCTCTTGGTATGTCTAACTGTTTGTAAATTTATATTCAAATATATTTATACTTATAAATTTATATAGAAAGTAGATACTTGCATGAAAACCATCTTGGTTAAAATTAAAATTAGTAAGTAATAGTGAGATGTAGATTTAAAAATTAATAATTACATACTTTTTTAACTTTTGTTACAAGAATAATATACGATGTCACTCAACTGGAGTATTTTACAAGGGTTGTTTTACCCTTTGAGTTTTATATTAATTTGCCTTGCTTTGTACCATTACTGGCAACAGTCTACGAGATACGTGAGACTGGGACGAAAATTGCCAGGGCCGAAACCCATTCCGTTATTCGGAAATGCTTTAGAAGCCCTCTTAATGAAACCCGATGGTAAATGATAAACGTTTCTCAAATATCGGAAAAAAAAGAACGACATTTTACGACAGAAAAATAATTTTTAGATATTGCCGAATACGTTTTGAATAAATCAAAAACTGATTTTAAGAATAACACTATTGTGGGAATATGGCTGGGTTATAAGTTGTACGTTGGTATAATTAATCCCGAAGATGTAGAGGTATTTTTGCTTTATTCTAATGAATAAATTAAGTAGGATTATCATAATTAATGGTGGAATACACCCTATTTTTCAGATTATTTTAGGAAGTCAAACACATATCCAGAAATCTGAAGAGTACAGGTATTTTAAACCGTGGTTAGGTGATGGACTGCTTATTAGTAGAGGTCAGTAAATAAAATCAGTAAATGTAGTATTACATCATTACATATTTTTCGTAAATTTTAAGGTGAAAAATGGAAAAACCATCGAAAAATAATCGCTCCAACATTTCATATACACATTTTAAAAACGTTCATTAATTCGCTTAATAATAATGGTAGCAGCTTGGTAAAGCGATTAGAAAATGAAATCAGTAATAATTTTGACATTCACGATTATATGAGTAGAGTAACAGTAGACACATTGCTTGGTATGTAAATATTCTTTTAATACATTTATTTTGACACAAAATTCACGTTGTAAATATGAACTTATATATGTACCTAATAGAAACCGTAATGGGCATTGAGAAACCTAAAAATGAAACCACGAGCTTTGATTACGCCAATGCTGTCTTAAAGTAAGTAAAAATTATTGTTTTTTATACATCTACGTATGTACATACTTAGCGATTGACCCAAGTCGTTCATTAGAAATTTAAGTAGAGGGAACGAAAAGGCTAGGATTTGGAATTTCCTATTTACTAAATGCGGCATTTACTTCGTTATTTTAACTAAATGACCCACTTTTTTTATTTCTTTGAATAACTTTTTTGAATTGAAAGGTAACGTTTATAGGGGTGGTATACCTCTAAACCTAACACTTTTCAAGTTCTCAATAATTCTACGAGAAAATTTTAGTAAAAACATCACTGACAAAAAAAAAACGTATTCACAGGAACCAATAAATTAAAATTTGAAATGGTTTTCTGAATGAAAATAAAGACCACAGGATAAATCAAACCTACGGGGCCATAAAAAAAATGATATAAGTTTCAGCGATTGTCAATTTTTCATGGCTTACCTACTGCAAGATTACTTTTCGTGATTAACATAAATTAGTATAAAAACGCAATTTTTTCGAAAAACCTCCTTTTTAAGAACAAAGGTGCCAACTTGTATAAAAATTCAACTATTTTTACCATTTCCAGGTATTGTGGTTTTAAAAAAATAAGTGTTTGACGTTATTATCTATGAAGTTACATATAATGAGATGCCGAAGAAGTAGCCTTGGCGTTTACACTTTCGTTAAAAAAAATTTTACTTTTACTTTTTTGGAACCAGATAGTAATATTCTTTATCTATACACATATAAACGTTTCCGTAAAATTTAATGTATATACATATATTAAAAAAATAAAGAAAAATAGGTCGCACCATTTAAAATCATCAAATAATGATACATTTTCGGTAGATGTTATGGACTTGTAGGAGTGTATATCTATCTACCTACCAAGTTTTCTTTTCTCTCCCTATTTTCTAATAACGGTTTGGATCAATCAATTCGGATAACTAACGACAATTATATATGAAATCGTATCTAAAATTTTTAGACTCTGCACTATAATTCATAATAGACACTACAAATATTGGTTACAAAATGATTTTATTTTCAAATTGACCTCTTTGGCTGGAGCGCAGACTCATTTAATAAACGTCATCCACAGTCTAAGGAATAAGGTGCGAGCGCAACCAACTTATGCATACAAAACTTAACTTATTACAAGAAATAAATATTCATTTTCGTCTTTAGATTGTAAAATTCAAAACGGAAGGTGTATCATTAAAATTAAATACCGGAGAATCAAACTCTCTACCGATTTCAATTAGTGACAACGGCCTTAATGATCAAGGATCGAACAAAAATTTTTACAGTTTCGGAAGTGCAGTTAGAGACGATTTAGATGAAGCTGATGAAATAGGTATAAACACATACATAGATACACTATTATCGTACTTCTATTATTATTCCTATATTGTAGTAAAATAGTTAGTACGTAATACTACAAAATAACAATAATTTAAATAATAAAATGTTATTATTAATCATTAATGATCGGTCACACAGGTGAAAAGAAAAGACGACCATTTCTTGAAGAGCTAATTGAAACAAAATTGACAAACACAGGATCATTTACTGACGAAGAAATTAATGAAGAAGTTGATACAATTTTGTTCGAGGTATCCTTCTTTCTTTCTGTTTTACAATATTTTTCTAATATTAGCAATGTTTAGGGCCATGATACAACTGCTGCTGCAATGAGTTTTGTCTTGTCTCTTCTTGGAATTCATCAAGCTATTCAGGAGAAGGTATTTCAAGAATTAAATGCAATTTTTTATGACTCTGAACGATCTGCCACGTTCGAAGACACAGTACAAATGAAATATCTAGAAAGAGTTATTTTGGAAAGTCTTCGACTATACCCTCCCGTGCCCATGATTGCTAGAAAATTAACAGAGGATGTTTGTTTAGGTAGGATTTGGTATATTGTAGGTATACAGATGGGTTGAGCCCCACACCCTCCTTATCGCGAATCCGAACAAAAGTTAAATTAGAGTTCTCCACTAAGATGCTAATTATCTACTGAAAAAGAAAATTTGTGCTGGAAAAAAGTTCATTTTTAAAACCTCCCTCCTCCAAGTAAAAAGTTTTCGCCACACTAAATTTCTGTTCTTTATGTGCTATTTATCCAGAATCCAAGTGCTTTGGGTCAACCGTCGCACCTCGCTAAAAATATTAAAGATGCTCGAAGATGCTTGGGATTCAGTATGAAAAGCACTTCTTGTCTTAATCGCGAGCAAACAGAGAGAGCATAATTCTTGTGTTTTCGTTTACGAGTTCACAATATAAAAAATAAAATTGCGTATTTGCCGAAAGTTTAATTTAAAATGTTTATTTTGCGCTCCCATTAGAAATATTTTTAGTAGGTACTCAATAGATTAATACAATATGCATATTTAATGATGTTAGTTTAAATATTATCATAACAATTGCACTGTGTTCCTTCGTTATCTTTTTACAAATTGAAAACATATAATATGGAAAAAAAATCTAAATCAGAATTTCTATGCTAAGGTTATAAGATTCTTACCGAGATATTCGTTTTAGGATTACTTCTATTGTGTGTATTTTTTCCATGTGAAATAACTGAAAAATTTGTAAAAAGATTAACTGCTGCAATTCTTGTTAACTGAATATTTTTGAGAGTCGTTTAATCCACAATGTCTCCTTTTTCCTACAGTATAATAATATATAAAATATAGGCTAATTGCTGTATATATGCTCTAGAAAAGATATAGCTTTTCTGTTAAGCTAATTCAACAATGTCCAATTTTTATTATTACATTCAAATGAGCGAATGTATCATTGAAAATAGCGAATTAATCGATTGGGTACTAAGGATGCTTTTTGTAATGATAATTGCAAATTTCTCTTTTCGAGCTGTTTATATTTGAGTAAAAACGCCATTATTTCCATGTTAATAATTGGATGGCTAACTCGTTTGCGAAAAGGGCAGTGCGACTCCACGAACTAGTATATACATTTTTACTAACTACATATTTACAATTATTCTATTAACTTAAAGAAAACACGCAATGCTGTACCATGAACAGCTGTCTCACATTTCGTAAAAGGCATTGTATTTTCCAATAAAGACATATGCTTAATAATAATATATTTCAGCATCAGAACGGTATGTGCTACCAAAAGGCACCACAGTAGTTATCGGTACTTATTTATTGCATCGCAGACCTGAACTGTATGAAAATCCAGATGTCTTTGATCCCGATAATTTCCTTGCAGAAAAATGCGTTGGACGCCATCATTACAGTTATATTCCGTTTAGTGCTGGACCAAGGAGTTGTGTGGGTCGGTTACTACTTCAGGCAAAGATATATAAAAATGTACATTTCTGTCTTATTTTAGGGAGAAAATATGCAATGCTTAAAATGAAAATTATACTATCGTCTATTTTGCGTAAATACAAGGTATATTCGGACATATCAGAAAAAGCTTTTCGATTGCAGGGCGATATAATTTTGAAACGAGCAGACGGATTCAAAATAAGGATTGAAAACAGATTAAGCTAGAATATTGGCAACATGTGATATCTTGTCGTTAGTTAAAATGATCACTGTATAACAATAAAAAAATACCAATCTTTACTTTGTTCCAGTCTACCGCCCTACACAATTTTCCCTTTCTCCAACAGATCTATCTGATAACTCAAACAGTTGCTTTTGTACAATTTTACATTTCGCCATCAATTTTTATGACTAATTTTTGGATAAAAGTGCACATTAAGTTTTACTTCCTATTTAAAAATAGGAAAATAATTCAAATAAAAAAACATTTATATGTATTAAACATTACGCTTGTGTGTGGTTTGTATAAATTGGTTTATCACCACTAAAAAAACCTTTATACCAAACTTCAACAAAATTATTAGTCTTTTTGGCTTGTTGGAACAAAGTTTCTTATAGCATGTTACGGAGACAAGGAGCTAACCAGCAAAAACCAGCGTTGTTTATAAATTTTTAAAATCATTCGACGCAAAAAACAAAATTTTTTTTAGTTATTAGGAAGTGTTTAAAGACATTTTCAATGTGTTGAGTAACCCTTAAACAACAAGAATTCATTAAGTTATATTACAAATTTAATAAAAATCGCCTTTTCCCTAAGCTGGCTCTAAATTCCTTTCTAGCCAAAAATTGCACAAGTTAATACATATCTGTTTTTTGCTTACTACTTAAAGAACGAGTTTATAAAGTAGTTTCGATTACTCTGCCATCTGATGACTTTACTTATACTGATACTTTATAAACTCGTTCTTTAAGTAGTAAGCAAAAAACAGATATGTATTAACTTGTGCAATTTTTGGCTAGAAAGGAATTTAGAGCCAGCTTAGGGAAAAGGCGATTTTTATTAAATTTGTAATATAACTTAATGAATTCTTGTTGTTTAAGGATTACTCTGCCATCTGATGAATGTGGAGTCAATTTAAAAAGCTTCCGAAATTAATCGGTTGATAGTAATAGCAAGACAGTACTAAAATTGCCATTTTGAAATATTGCGAGCAGATAGCGCTTACAAAATACTGTGTCAGATATCCGTTTTTTTTTTTATAAAATACCTTGGCCAAAAGTTATAATTAATATTTGTCGAATAGCGTAAGGAACTTCGATGTCTAATGACACCCCATCTTGTATTACTTTGAATCACTTAGCACCTCAATACCACCATATATTACATAATGATGACTCACCCTTAATCTTAACGATATCTTAAGCCGTTGAAATTTTGATAAAAAGGTGATGATTATTCTGTGAATTAAGATACCTAATTTTTTTTAATAAATTGACCACAAACACAAATATAAAATAAATAAAATCAAACATCAACTTATTTATTGCAAAATATAATTTAAAATTAGAAATTTCCTTGCATTCTGAAGTGCTTTTGGAGTTTGTTGGCTTTTATACTCAATTTTGTTCTCCACTTTGACTGCAACCTTTGCATATATAATAAATCTCTGGCTTTGCTAAAAAAGAAATAAACAAATGTTACATATTTTTTTTATTCAAGACAGTGATAGTTACCTAACAGTAATTTCCTTTTTAGTATCTGTCCAACCCAGTATTCTATAACTAGCTAAGAGTTTGCCCTTATTAATTTTATAACTTTGCTTAGAAAGGTTTGGGTTAATTTTCTGCTTATAGTAGCACAAAAGACTACGATGACCTATTACTTTACCAGATGGCAATGCTAATTGATAATCAGTTCCATCTATTTCAGGAATATTGATCTGAAATGTTTATTAAATATCTAAATATTTCTACATTCAGGGTCACATATTTGCAATATAAGTTTACCTCTTCATCATGATCAATATTCTTTTCATCAGCATCAGGATATGAAGAAGAATAATCATAAAAATCTGCATATTCAATTAATGTCTCCCCTTCATGAAGCATTTTACAATGTCCTTTGTCAATCATATGTTGTCGAGTTGCTTGTGCACCATAGAATGACTTTCCCTTTTCATTACACCATATGCACATGTGGCCTAAAAAAATAACTTGATATCTCTTTCTAGATAGTTTTTTTTCAGTGTATATATAATCATATCAGTTTGTCTTACCAATCATTATTTTTTCTCCAAGATACCTCAAAAGACCTAGTAAATCTACACAAAACTCTGCATCAGGAATAAAAAAGGAATGGCTTATTGCCATGTGTTTTAAACATTTCAAAAGGGTAGAACTATGATGTGCACAAAATAAGCAATTATTTTTATCAATAGGATTTTCTGTATCTTCATCCCATTCATCTGAATCTATCTCTTCTTCTTCAATGCTGTCTGTTGATATATTTTCTTGTTTGAATGAATTATTGTAATCATGTTTGTATTTTTTCTCATTTTCCTTATGCTTCTTTGAATTTTTATGAGTGAGAAAAGCATTTTTATTCCCGAAGCTTTTTCTGCAAATTAAGCAATATTCCTTTTTATTCTCCTCATGCTGATCGATGTTACGTTGTAATAAGACTCTCCTCGCAAACTCCTCACTTGATACGGGAGGCAATTCCGCAACCTTTCGCTTTAAATTATATCGATGCCAATCAGTTTTGTAGTGCGATCGTTGTAATTCTGGATCACTGAAAACAACACCACAAGCAACACATGTGAAAGGGGAAGACATGCTTAAACCACAGTATAAGTTTATAATGTGCTCTAGGAATGTGCTTTAGAATGTATGCTATCATAGATAATAGGTATGCTATTTTGTCCCTTTCATAGATCTATTTTGTTGCATTGACGTTTAAAGTAATGGACATTCCTTACCCTTTGTATATCTATTATCTATGGGCTTAGCGATCAAAATTGTGGTACAACAAAAGAAAAAGATGGAATGAAGTTTCGGACAATATCCATCTCTCTTACGATAGTGCGTAACCGTGTCATGAAAGAGATAGCATTAGTCCGAAACCGTACGCCATCTCCCTCACTTTTCGAGACAAGAAATTATTACAATGACTACGGCTAAAGCACGTCCATTAATATATGTCTATGTTAGAAATTGTTCACGACTCCATTATGACCTTGTTCGTCATTGTTAGTAGCACATCAGCACCACCTGTACCGAAAACAGCAAAACGTTAAACACTAGACACTACACGTGCACTACACCGAACTATAACAAATTCGAAGTGTTCTTCAAGCAACGTGGTGTCACTGTATGACTTGATGCGGCCAATCTATGATGCGGCCATAACCAGCCCATAAAACCAGCCATACTTAGGAAAACGAAGATCGACCATTGGGGTTTACAATATTGTTAATCAATAGATTTAATGTTTAAATATTTACTCTACTTGGATGCAAGCAGTATTCCCAATATTCGATGAGTTCGAGTACTAATATTTAACTAAATATTCCATTACCAAGTAAGTAATATAAATATATTAACCAAATACACATGTATTCGCATACGTAACTTAAAAAAACATTTTGAGAATAGTGCACGAAGGCATGGTTATAAGACACCGATAATTATCGATGTTTTTTTATTTACTTTTGCTTTTAATGTTCTTTCTTCTTACAGATTAGGACTTAAAGCACATTGTGCTTTTTTGAAATTGTTAAAATACTGTCTCAATAAAAAGAATTCTCTGCAGCTGTTGGAATCGTCCAAAGGGGCGCAACCTTTTTATATGACTTTAGAAAGACCAAAAGGTAATATTAAAATTATAAGTTAAAATTCTGGAATATTATATTTGAAAAGGCGATATTTCAATTATTTTTGTATATAATTCAATCTGCAAGTGTTTAATACACAACAGCACTAGCTTCAATTTTAATTTGTTAGTTATCCTTATATAAATCAATACACGAAGTTGAGTTATTAACTGCAATTTTGATAAATCTATTTTACAATTATGTTGAAGACGTTACAAGAAAATACAACACACGATCGCCTATATATTTTATACATCCATAATCTATTCTCAGGCGTTGCCATATTTATGAAATATTATTATATATGCGTATTTTTAAAAATTTTAGTTACATTGTTGGACAGCGCTCAAACCTCGTATAGTCAATATTAAGGCAATTTAACTTACCTAGTATAAAGAAAAAAGTATTATATTTGCTGCAAACCAGCATTAATTATAGATTAAGTTAAATTAAATTCAAACCTTCATGGCCGTATATACAGTAGTATATTATTTTGTGCACACTTATGACACAGTACCTTTCGAATAATATAGGTTTCATTTTCTCCTCTTATAATACCAAAAAAACGTATCTACCAGGAGTTTTCACGTTGATGTATTAATATAACAATAATAATATTTCTACAATAAACATGGAACATTAATAGCGCCTGTGTGGTTCAGACGGATTATTTTCTTCGAAAAGTAGACATAAATTACATTTTTTCTGCGGATCTTATAGCCTAATTTTCGTAAGACTTGTAACTGTTTCATAAGAAAATCACAAGTGACTATTTTTGTTCTAACGTAAACTATTTTAATAAATAATTCATTTAATAAGAAGTAAAGACAAGAAAACTGGCAATCTATTGAAATACTAGTTTTTTTTATTAAACCATCGTCGATAAAAACTTTTACACGTGACCTTGCTTCAGTTAAAGTCGGTACTGCGTGAAGCATAAAAATAATTTTTGTTAATTTTTATAAAAAAAAGGTATATACCTATTATAAACCGAATAAGAACGATACATATAAAAGTATCGAATATTGCGACCGCGATGCGCTTGATCAAAAGGATCGACCCTACATGTTCAGTACAACGCAGCGTTGTTAACAAGCGCAATGAAAGGAACATCAGTGTAAGCTTTTTAAGGAAGTTTATCGGTTTGTTCGGTATTCGCTGATTCATTATTGTTTTCAAAAAATTAAAGGGGCGTTTTTCAGCCTCCATGCTGTCGCCCATTTCCTGCGATGATGGTAAGATACAATTTCTGATGATGTATGGTACCCAATTAATTATTTTTGCATTATTGTATATTATTGTTTAACGTCATTAATTGCTGGTACGCCACATCATAGACAAAGAACACCTATATCAATTTATAAGTGGAGAAGAAAAATAAATTCAATGAGGTCAAATACAGAAATTGAAATTAGTAAAGTGAAATTACATTTCTGTTGGAATTTGATCAAAAATGTCCCAAGTTTACATTGATTGGTGGGGTTTTCTTTAACTAAAGTATCGTTTAAATAAATCTAAGTACGTGTATTATTTACCCGACTACATAATAATCAATAAGTGCAGTTAGCAGTCATATTCTCGTTTTAAAAAGCAAACTTCATTTTTCATACTAATTACGAGCTTATTGTTAGTAACTGTTTACTTAGAAATATGTACTATATTACGATTTAATTTTTTGCTGATGGACGTGAACAAACGAATAGTATTCGAATTAATTTTTTTTTAAATATATTCGAGTCTTTTTATCATTGCCAATGTTGATCAAACCCCAATTTTCGAAATATGTCACCATTAGTCGCCTCATACGACACGCCGGGACCAGCGGTAAGACTATTCTTTCCCGGTCTTACACGGGTATGAAAATGAATTTCATCTAAAATAGCTGTCGTTACATTTGCATTATATTATGTGTTAGTTGGCTAATAGTTCGTATTTATGTCAAAACGTTTTTGTAAATTAAATGTAGTTAAAAATATATTAATGTCCTGCCAAATGCGGGTAAAGTTTTTCGTTTGTAAAATAATGTTTTCATATGATCCTGACCATTGGAAATAGGACGGTTGAAACAGTAATCAATGTAAATCAGTGAATCCATCGTTTACCAATGATTTTCTTTTTTGCCCTTTGGGGATGTATATATTCATGTCAAGATCAATAGGATTTGATTACCGATACTGTAATAAGTTCATAATTATTAATTAGAGAAACTGAAAACTGATAGTTGTTTTCACCGAGTAAGTAGAAATGAATGTGGTGTGATTTTTGAATCTCGTTTTTTTAAACTTTAATATTGTTCACATCGACAAGCGCTGATTTGTATTTTGTTTATTCAGTTTATATTATAAATATTTGACTTCTTTCCATTAAAATTATATTACATCAACACTTAATATGAAAAACGTTCTTAAACTTCATAAAAAAAGCATGGTGCTTAACAAATCAATAAATTACAATCAATTACGATGAATATTTAGCTATAAAATATACGTAAGTGTATGGAATTAATTATTTCTTCATCGATGGTTAATTATTAATGTTCTTAAATATGTATTAATAGTAATAAGCTTAATAAACTGAATGAATTATTTTTATGTTGTGCATACGTATATGGTAGATATAGGTATGTGGGGAGATAGCCTGGGTTGATTACCATTGTTTTTGGTGAGATAATTTTTGAGTTTGTGTAAGAAGTTATTCGCTTTTCGATAATTACATTTATAGCAAAAATGTATTTTAAACAAGTTAAACTTTCATTTTTTTACAGAAACATCATTAACAAGTAGTATAGTTGGGAGCTTAGGGTATTGGCACATTAGGTGCATGACTTCGCAGCGTCAAGAACTCCATTGTAATAGGTAAGTAATTAATATGTTTCGATAATATTGATTATACTCTAATTGTTTTTCTCTTTTAGGACCACCAAATCTTCATCTAATAGGCATCGGAAACTTCAACCCTTTAGGGAAACGTGACTGAAAGCAACAATAGGGCATTTCAAAAGTTTATTTTCATATATAAAGGTACACGACATAAGCACATTTCTTTATCATGGGCAGTGTCAATATAAACAGAAGCGTTAGCGATGCCTTCTACCGCTACAAGATGCCACGCATCGTGGCTAAGGTATTAAGTATATTATCTGTTTGCAAATGGTGTCACTTTTGATACTGTTTTATAGGTGGAAGGAAAAGGAAACGGAATCAAGACGGTAATTGTAAATATGACTGAAGTTGCAAAAGCTTTGGGTAGGCCTCCCACTTATCCCACAAAATATTTCGGATGCGAATTGGGTGCTCAAACCCAATTCGATTTCAAAAATGAACGCTTCATTGTCAATGGTTCTCATGATGCCATTAAACTTCAAGATTTATTGGATGGATTTATTCGCAAGTATGTTTTATCAATAATTGATTTGTTATTTGTAAGCATTTTACATATTTTTATTTAAGGTTTGTGCTTTGTCCAGGGTGTGATAACCCTGAGACTGATTTAATTGTATCAGCAAAAAGAGGAACTATATCTACCGGTTGTAAAGCTTGCGGTTATCACGGCATTTTAAAAGAAAATCACAAGTTGAACACATTCATTCTTAAAAACCCGCCCAATATGAATCCTGCCGTGCAGGGATCGTCACTAACGGAAGGAAAACGCACGAAACGAAGCAAAAAAGTAAATGGTGACTCACAAGGTACAAACAACGGAGACGCCCAAGGTGACGAAGAAGTTGGTTTGGAAGCTCCAGCAGATTTAACATTTAACGATGTAAGTTATACTTAGTTTATATAATTGTCCGTATCAAATGTGGTTTAATTCATTCGTTTCCGTTCTACAGAACACTGCAAACGATGAGGACGATGGAACCGAATGGGCAGCGGATATTTCTGAAGAAGCGGTAAGAGCACGAATGCAAGACTTAACGGAAGGCGCCAAAAATATCACTATCACCGACGATTTAGAGAAATCTGAAAAAGAACGGTTGGATATGTTGTATGAAATGGTCAAAACCAAACGTGATGCCGGGCTCTTAGAAAATTCCCAAGCTCAAAAAGAACTCGTGAATGAAGCTGAACGTCTTGAAATTAAATCTAAAGCAACTCTCATTTTGGCCGAATTGTTGTTTAATCAAAACATTTTACAACAGGTTAAGAAGCACCATTCACTCCTCTTACGTTTCACTCACGAAGATAAAAAAGCTCAAAAATATTTAATGGGTGGATTAGAACAGGTTATAAGTATGCATCGCGACACTCTAATGAACAAAGTTCCTGGATTATTGAAACTGTTTTATGATATGGATATTCTAACGGAACCTGCAATTATCGAGTGGGCTGATAAGGTTTCGAAAAAATACGTTTCTAAAGATGTTTCACAAGAGATACATAATAAAGCTGCTCCATTTATCAAATGGTTAAAAGAGGCTGAAGAAGAAGAGTCGTCTGATAGTAAAGACGAAAGTGACGAAGGCGTCGAAATTGAATACAATGATCGCGTACAAGTATCGCAGATGAAAGCAGCTCCGGCACCTACAAGTAAGACATCTAAAATCCCTGCAGGTGTAGATGACGACGAAGATGATGTGGACATCGATGCCATTTAAATAATTATACAAAATTAAAACGTGCAGAAATAGATTTCAGTAATTCTCTTTATCAAAAATAGAAGCTTGTTGCTTATTTTTCTTTTATGAAATGTATTACTGCACCAAACTTAAAAGTAGAAAATATAATATTGATGTTTTATAGTTTTTATGTTAAACATATTTCATAATTGCTTGAGTATCCCCATTTTTTCTGGTATGTAAAGCAGCTTCATTTTATTAAACAAAAAAACTAAATACAGAAACTGGCATTATTTCAGTTGTACTTTTAAATACATCTTTTTTGCAATTTTTGAAACGTAATGGAGCTGCCGATAGCAGCTTGAGAAAGCTCACACTGTTATTATCCTTATTATATAATTATTGATATATATATAAAAATGCTAAATGTGTTCTTAAATAATCCTTTTAATATCATCGTCATCATCATTAGGTTGTCAGTCCTAA